CTCCCGGATGTGCGTTCTTCTCTCTCAGCTTCTTCGGTCTTCCTTCCAAGGGTGGCGGGTGAGACGGCACGATGGTACAATATTATTTTACTACAGCTGCCGAGCGTGATCCGTGGCGCGTCCACGCTTTCTGATAAACTCGGTTATTACGCAAAAGAAATGCTAACACAAAAAGAGGAAAATTTGTAGAGTAACATTATAGATGACGCGGTTTTAACGCTCGTTCGCAGGTGCGTTTGCACGCGCGCTCGCGTGCGCACTCGCCTGCGCGCTCGCCCTCCGAGCCGATAGGAAGCACGAGTCCTCCGCCGACAAGTCTGCACAGTGACGGACAAAATGTCACGTCACAACACTTACCGACTAAATAGTTGCAACAGATTTTTTTCTATGATTTTCGAAATGCAGCCTAATTATCGAGTGATTGGTTTTTACTTACGGATCCATAAATAAGAACCAATTGTTCGGTGAGCAGACTGCTTTCCGAAACCCATTAAAAAAAGAGTGTTGCAACCTTTTAGTCGATGAGTGTACTTATATGGCACGAATCTCGAACGAATCACCAACAGATAGGTATATCCATTTGCAAAGATATTACTTGTTTCTGCGATTTACACTGAAACATTTCTCGGACGCCACATCTAGGTTCTCTAAACGTTCCAGGAACCTTGCAAATAAAACGTCCCATATGTAATGTAAAAGAGGTAGGACGTTCTGGGTTACCGACATGTTTCAAAGATTATGTTCTTGAGATATCAAGAGACACGGTAGTGTCTCGCGCCAAGTGGGTGCGCAGCGCGAGACACGCGTGTCTTTACGCGAGTCAGCGAGTTGCGGGCATCCGAGCATCTAAAATTCTCGGTTTTTTTAATAAAGGCTAGACCGATCAAGTTCTGAATATGAGCTCCATCGACAGTTTGGGTCCGAATTACATAATAAACGTTTATTTTACCTCTACGTGTCCCACGAACGGAGATATCGTGATGCGAAATCCGAAATGTTAAAATTTTATGTAAGATACGTCGCCTCAAAAAGTCATCTCCTTTTCATATTTTCGACTGTAGACGGCACTCGTTTATTGCTGTCATTTACTGACTTATTTACAAAATTACCTTTTTAAAAAAAGATAAAAAAAGGCGCCAAGTGTGCATGTACCTCCCATAAAAAATTGTACTTTACATAAACTAAAAACAAAACCATTACATAAATAATATAATTCAAGTGGTAATATTGTTAATTTTTTATTATAAATTACCCCTCAGTAGTACGTATGCATGTATTAAAAAAAAAAATGAAATCAAATCTTTAAATTACGCCAATTGCAAAAAGAATATATAATTTCTTGCAACATATAACATATACTATTGTATTTTGTAAATTGCGAAAAGAACATATATTTTATTGCAACATATAACATTTAATTAACGAGACAAAATGATACGTACCTTTATCTTTCTATTCAAGAGTCTTTTATATTTGCAATGGAATACAACATTTAATTTCAAAAAATGAAAGACGGAGCATCACAAAATGAGAAAATTTTATTAAAATAAAATTTTTTATGTAAAATAATTTGGCGTGCTGCTAAACCTCAAAATATAATAAATAAATGTTACATAAAAGAAATAAACAATATTTACTGTTTAATTAACATTAATTAACAATCAAACATAAAATTACAATCACAATTACACACACACACAATTAAGATTATAATTAATTTTAAATCTACTTTTAAATTTAACTTAAACAGCATGTCTTACAAATCTGAAATAATTATTCTAGTCTTATACGCTTTTACAATATATAATGCAACCACATAAATACGTATTCTGTATTAAATCTAAGCCGCACACCTATCTAAATCTGGTCGCACATATGAACACGTTGTATTTTATTAATTCTCTTTCTTTAATCTCTTCATTACTTTTCATATTTTTAATTATTTGCTCGTACACGCACGCACGCACGCACGCACGCACGCACGCACGCACACTGTATATTGTTAGTCCACCCCATTTTCTTTCTTAAATTTCTTCATTATTTCTTTTATTCGATATTATTTGACGATCATCTTATTATATTTTGAGGTCTAGCAGCGCGCCAAGTTTTTTTACATAAAAAATTTTATTTTAATAAAATTTTCTCATTTTGTGACGCTTTGTCTTTAATTTTTTTGGATTAAATGTTGTATTCCATTGCAAATATAAAAGACTCTTGAATAGAAAGATAAAGGTACGTATCATTTTGTCTGGTTAATTAAATGTTATATGTTGCAATAAAATATATGTTCTTTTTGCAATTGGCGTAATTTAAAGATTTGATTTTATTTTTATTTAATACATGCATACGTACTACTGAGGGGTAATTTTTAATAAAAAATTAATAATATATTACCACTTGAACTACATTATTTATGTAACAGTTTTTTTTTAGTTTATGTAAAGTACAGTTTTTTATAGAAGGTATATGCACACTTGGCGCCTTTTTTACCTTTTTTTAAAAAGATAATTTTGTTAAAATATTGATAAACATCACAAGCCATGATGTGACATTGCTGTAACATTTCTAAAACGTAATTTTGTTTAGTGGGTCATTTTAGCAATAAACTGAATTAATTAATTTTACAGCTGATTGACAATTTGAATCTATTTGAATCCATCATCTAGATCCATAAAAAATGAATCTATTTGAATTAATTTGAATCCATAAAAAAAATTATGTTCTATTCCCGTATATGAATAGAAAATGATTCAATTTTACTACGTTCAATTCTTTTCTATCTATATACATGGATCAAGAATTTGGATTCTAATGAATTAAAATGTATTAAAAATTTTCAATCTCTTTTAATCCCTTTTCGGATACTGGGACATAAACAAAATGAAAAATTTGAACGCTGATTGATAGGTCATATTAAGGCGACAGAATTCCAACTCATCGAAAATTTATCGCTATTTTATTCCATGTTCTTCTTCCGTGTATTGACATATGTTGGATTCCTCCATTCCTATCGCTATCGCTGTTGTCTCGCATAGTGTTTAGGGCTTAACTTACTAATTTAGACGTCATTTGTTAAAAAAAAGCAGTCAGCTGTACCAATTGTATAGGCTGCATGTTTGTTTCTCCGATTTGCGCTTCTAATTGTGAAAAAATCTTTTTTATTCAGACACTTTCAAATCATATACATTTTTATTTAATAAAATACAACAGCATTACATTGCATTGACAGTTTCAGACGACTTTACCGTATCTCTACAATTACAAAAAATACTGCTATACTTACTATGGGAGATTTAAAGAGGCTACTTCTCTTTTCCGATATATTTTTTCCTCTTTACATCCACGAATCTAGCATGAGACCTTTACAATTTCAAAGATCGTTGTATATATTCGCACAAGGATACAAAACATCAGGAAACACCAATAAAGCCGGCCAATAAAGTAAATAAGGTTGATATTGCAAATGGTGTCTAAATTAGTAAGTTATCCGTATAACAAATCAAACTAACCAAGACTCCTTATAAATCAAAGAATTGGAAAGAATACGGGCGTTAGGAGTCAAACGCAGAAGACGTTGCGCAAATAATACACTTATGAAGCTTGAAACTTCTTTATTCAACAAACGCACGCTTGTTGAATAAAGAAGTTTCAAGCTTCATAAGTGTATTATTTGCGCGACGTCTTCTGCGTTCGACTCCTAACGCCCGTATTTTTTCTAATTCTTTAGTAAGTTATTCTGATAAATTATAAATTAATAAAAACTAATAAGTTATTCTTTTTAGTGGATTCTCTCCCAATTCGGCGTACGAAACAGTCCCACTTTTCTTCACGAAGTTGAGTCTCCTCCCTTACTTCATGTTGTCACCGTATAAATTAAATCCCAAATTTTAATAAAACTTAAAATTTGCATATAAATAAAGTTTACCACTTATTGAAAATTAAAGAGCTCTAAAATGCATATTTATTTATGCATATTTTCATATTTTATACATGTTTATATCATTTTTATTTATTATAATTGTTTGTTATTGTTTATTGTGTGATTTAAATTATTAATTATACTTCTTAAAATATTTTACTTTGGAAATTACAATTTAAATTTTAAACTTTATTTTGTATAATTTGCAATATTATAAGTACAAAATATAAATTTTCAAAGTAACTTTGTTAATTATATTAATTGTATCAATATATGTATAAGTAAAATATTATAACAAAAATAAAAAATATGAAAATGTATTTACTTAATTTCAGGGATGAATAACATTAATGTAATAACATTATTAATGTTATTACATTAATATTATTACTATAAATAAAACAATTAATATAAAGAACATATTTTGACACGTTTCTTGCATATTATTTTACATATATTTTGTATAGAAAATACATATTGGTATACGTTGCAGTATAAATATTATATATTATAGATATTGTAAACAACCTAAATCTTAATTATGAATTGTTTTTTTTAATAATAAATATCTGCATAAAAATCCAATGTCTTATACGGATGAGTTCGTCATGGAAGATGCATTTTATTTCTGTGCAAAAAGCATTCATAACTTATTTAATATCTGCTTTTTCTTCAGTATCATTCAGTTTATTTAATTTTGTTTAAAATAATAAGAAACACAAATAAGCGCATTTAGCTTCACATCTTTTATACTTTTTACTCTTGTTTCTTGCGTAATAAAGCTATGCATCTTAAAGTTTTCAAAACAGTTTTAGGAAGCTCTAACATTTATATATAAATATTAATAGGTAAAATATCTATTGGTTATAACAATTGGTTTTTTAACTCTTAATTACCAGAGAAACTTGATGAGTCTTAAGATTTTACATACGAATATTAAGTTTTACTAAAATTCATAGTTTTACGGTAATGTGTATATAGATTTTAATTATTGCCCTGTAATTGTAATTGAATAACTGATTATTATTATTATAATATTGCTATATACACGAATTAACATCGATATTCCTTCGGTCAATAGGTCGGTAATTCAACCGGCAACTCGTACGTAAATGTTACTGGCAATTGGTTTAATACCAGCTTTGAAACGGCGCTGCAAGTGGAATCCAGTTGGAGAAAAGACAATGGATTAATGAGAGTGCAGATCGGACACAACTCATTCATAAGGAATGAGAAATTAGGAATCAAACTGAGCCCAGCGCTTAATCTCGACGCTATTATAGAGTACAATCACTTTGTAGATCAAGCAACCGGCGCAATTCTAATAAAAAATCCACTTTACGAAGAGTTTAACATTTTGCCCGCGCAGGTCGTGATCCGACATAACGAATTCTATAACAACCAAGGTACCTTTATAGTCAGCATCGGCTTATCGCCTTACAACGACGCGCAAAAGTTACTGTTCACAAGAAACTTCCTAAAACATAATCGTGTCGGGGAATTGTTCGACAACGGCGATAAGCGGAATGTCAAACTAATACCGCGCTCCAGGGTAGCTGCTGTCGTTGTCGTATCTTCGAGCAATGTTCAAGTTTTCCGTAACATCTTAAACAATCTCGATTCGCAGTACGAAATTGGCTCTCATCTGGAAGATCAGAGTAAAGTTATCAATTGTACGTATAACTGGCTAGGATCTGCGGAAGAAAAGATAATATTCAATCGATTATTTCATAGGTACGTCTAATTAACATTTTTTAATTGTTGCAGTAGAGTAAGTAATAATAAAAATATAATCATAACTATGTTGTTTAGGAAGGACAGATATAATCTCGCCAAGATCGAGTATTTGCCTTACTTGCTGCACAACAGCAATCCCGGCGCGAATACCATTATCCCGAATCCGACATTCGTACCACAATTTATCAACTCGAACGAAGTTGGAGGTGAGGTTGATGGCCAGGAGGAATTAAAAGCCGGAAAGTACATTGTCAGGCGTGATATCAATGTAAGACCAGGCGGCAAACTAATATTGCAACCGGGCGTTACGTTATACTTCTCACCGGCCGTGGGAATGATGATCGCCGGCAAATTTGACGCGCGCGGCGATGAGCAACCCAACGATATCTTATTCACTCTCAATGAGGAGACATCAAATAACGATGAGAATACGACTCAAGTCCATGAAACAGAATCCATACCAGTGAGGCTTCTTGGTGGAAAAACGAATCTTGAAGGGAGATTGCAGGTAACTCGTTATATTATCTTTATTTTTTAAACGTAATTTATATTTAAGGAGTTAATATTTATCGAATCGTATTGTATAAATTTTACAACAAATATTAATGAATATTGCTGTTCAAATGATGAAATAGAGAAAAAAATCGCAGTCTACATAACCTTCCATTGTTCTTTTATTCTGAAAGGTAAAAATTGGAAATGAATGGGGCACTGTGTGCAATTATGGATGGACAATTCAGGACGCAGCACTCGTTTGCCATCAGTTAAGCTTTATCCTCGACTTCGAGAATTGGCTTATGGAGCGATCGCAAATTCCGAATGCAGGGATCAATGAGAAGATACTCCTCAGCAATGTGCGCTGTACCGAGTACGACAATGATATAACTAAATGTCGAGCGGAAAGAGAGCAAGATTTTGAAAACTCGTGTACTCATGAGAACGACGTTGGTGTCAGGTGTCTGGAGGTGGCATGGGCTGGTCTCAGATTAGGACCACTGGCTCAAAGAAGCGACTTGGAGTACGTGACGATTGAAAAGGCAGGCTTGCTGGATTACAAAACTAATTCATTTAAACCAGGTAATTTTTTCAGATTCTTTAGAGGTCTTCTTAATAATCAGTCGTGCGAATTATTACTTTACGTTGTTTATTTGTATAATAGCTTTGCAAATAGATTTTGCTCGGCATTCACTGAACGGTATCAAGGTCTTGAACAATCTGCAAGACGGTTTAGGAGTTCTGTATTCAGACATATATTCGGCAGACGCGATAAACACTGTGACGAATAGCCACTTCTCTCAAAACGGCGGGAGCGGCATCAGTTTCAAGCAATTAGGTATGCGGATTGTTAATTCACAAATCGAAAACAACAAGGTCGCGGGAATAAGACACAATCCCGTTCTCTCGGCCGTTCAGCAAAGAGAATTCGCGGGATGGTTCCTGCGAAAATCGGATACCACAGTCGACTCACCGTACAATCCGATAATCTTGCCAGAAACGACCGAGAATATCGAACTTGCTAATGGAGAGACCAAATACATTATCACGACTAAAGTAACCAGTGACTACATCCGTCGTATCATCAAAATTGAAGTATAAATTCTTTTTCTTCTCGCAAGAAATATCTTGTTGTCATAGTTAAACTAAATTTTATCCAAATTATAGTGCAAACCAAGCTATGTCATCGGTATCCAATTATTGAACCCGATTGAAAATCGAAGTACGGAACAAATTATATTGCACGACTCGCAGCATTTCGACATAAATCAGACGATTTGGCATGTAAAACGGGACCTGAGTGTTTTTCCCGTTTCGTCTAGTTCCTTTGTAGTACTTTTGGAATATGATAGCGGTGAAAATGCTCTTGGTGGAACTGTCATAGTTGTCACGTCGCTCTCGGCTCCAAGACAGGTATATTTTAAGTATAAATATTACATTAATACAGAGATATATGCTATTAAATTAAATATTAAACAATCAAATTTAAACCAATTTCTTGAGTTAAATAACATCTTGTTATTTTAAACTTCCAATGCCGAATTGTATTATTTTGACACAAAACATGTAATTAAAAAACAACCATATCTAATCAATCCATTTCTATGGTTAAGACTGTGGTTAAAGTCTCGCTACAAATACTTTGAAGCGTTTAGTGGACCAATTAGAAGAAAGAATTTTACAAACTGACCAATTAAAAAAAGCTTCAAAGCATTTGTAGCATCGCGTTGACCGTGCTCTAAATTGCTTAATTTCAAAGTAAACAACGTTTATATTAACTTATACACTTAGTATATAATAACTTAAATTTGAATTAACATTTCTTGAGATAGATTGTTTAAATAATAAGATAATTGTTTAAATAATAAGATAATCTAAACTGCTACATGGATAAATCAAATAAGTACTTCGAAAAAAGTCAATGCAGTCGAGGCTAAATAATGCCTAATAATATATATTTTTTCATATAAACTCTAAATTCGTATGTTGGACAATTGAAACACGATCATATAAATTGAAGCTGAAGTAATAATATCACAATTAAATTAATTTGATAATGCTGCGCTACTAGCATTTAAAAAATCTGAACCTGAACTTACTGTTTTTAGTTAAATCAATGACATATTGTATAGCGGCCTTTAGGAATGATTAAAAATAACTCAAGTTATATTGGTATAATTTTACATTATGAATTTAACAGTGTAACATTGATTTTATGTTAATGTTATGGATTGTAATTTACAGAATATTCACAATAAAATAGTCAACGGTCCTATTCCTTTGCTATCTGTCACAAAGACAAAGATCAAGAATAATAAGAAAGGTGTGCTCACGTCCTACTACAATCGATACCTGAATGAGATCGGATATCATTTTCTACGGAAAGCCAATGAGACTATTCAACTAGTCAATTGCGAGATATCACACAATCATGAAGAAGCTATTTACGTGCATTCACCTTATTGGAATATCTTCCAATCGAACCTGTCCGAGATCTCGATACATATAAATAACAGTTTCATCACGGACAATGGTAAAGGGATACATCAGTTCAGCCGCGATGCAAGGCACTCCAACAATCTCTTCCACTGGATAATGCAGGATAACATAATTGAAAGAAATCATGGCGGTGGATTCGAGGTGTTGTTACCAGATGTCTGGCAGTACAACGAGAACTTCACACACTCTCTATACTTTAGGAACAACACCTGGCGTAACAACGAACAGTTTGGCTTTGTAGTGGACGGACATTTCGCGCACCTTAATATATCCTGTAGTCATTTCGACAGCAATCGCTGTAAGACCGGTTTAATATCTGTGCGTGGAATGGAAAAGAAGATCAGAATCGACAATAATTATATCGAGGGTAATAACGGTGTTTACATGGTTGAGTTCCGAGCGGACAGCCAGTCCGAAATTCTCGGTGACATTTACGCTCGCTTCTATCGCAACGAGATTAAGCGAAATATGTACGACCTCAGCAATTTGGGATCACGTCGAACGTTTGACGACCCTAGCTATGTCGTCGGCTTCCACGGCATACAGAAAGTACAAGTACATAAAAATCTCTTCGGCAATAACTCGCTGGATTATGAGTTATTGGCAGGTATCAGGACAGCCAAGATCAACAACGAAGTAGATGTCAGGGAGAATTGGTGGGGTACTGCTAACGACACCTCTATCAGGTAAATTCATATAAACGTAAAATTTACGTCTTTTACGTTTGCATTTGATTTAGAGCTTATTTCAATAATTAATTTACTTTTATGTTCCTTCGCAGACAGAGGATTTTCGATTTCGACGACTGGAATGATCACGCTGTGGCCAACTATCGGCCGTACTTGACGAGCGATTCGTTTGAAGCGTCTACTTCCGCGTGGCGGCATATAAATCGCGAGATTGATCTGAACAATTTGGGCGGTCGCATAGTAGACAATCTCTCACTGTACGCGAGACCCGAGCCCTATGTCATACGTTCTGATATCACGGTTATGCCGGAAGCTACTCTGCATATTTACCCCGACGTCGTAATGGAATTCGCTCCTAACGTTGGCATCTTAGTTCTGGGAACGTTGAAAGCCATTGGCGTACCCGGCCATGAGATCATAATGAGACCGATAAAACGAATTGACGCGAGCGCAAATTCTACGTTTTCCAAACTAACGCCGATGAAAAGTTCCACTAATATCATGTCAATACCGGACGAGACAATTCGTTTGTGCAAGGATGGACGTTGTTCCGTATTGCATTACGAAGGTAGACCGAAAAAAAAACCAAAAGCTATTATAAAAGAAACTTATTATTTGAATAGTCTGTATGCAAAAGTAACTATATACAAAAATATATAAAAATTAAATTAATATCGGAATCCCGGATTTTTCAGCTCCTTGGTTACGAATTATAAGTTTTAAAAATGCTGAAACAATTACAAACTCTATAAAATTAAAGGAGCAAAAATGAGTTCTAATCGCAAAAGAAGTTAAATCCCTAAATCCCTACTCTATTGCAAGTGCAGTTATATTTATTAGTCATATTTGATAAAAATGACAGACATTATGTTCCAAAATCAATTATGTTCCAAAATTCTTCCGTCAGCTGTGCAAAAGCAGTCATTCTACTTTCATAAATAGAAATTGTATTATTATTTCTCATGTTATATTATACGCTTTTAGTTTTGTTAAAGGGGGAGTCTCATTTATAGGATGCCGAAAAAACGACGATTTTCGCGAATTTTTTTCTCAGCAACTATTAAGCGGATCAATACAAAATTTTAGGATTGTTTTATGACATTTATAGACAATACAAAATTTTTTTTTTATTCAAAAAACGTTATTTTACATTGTTATATTTAATATGTTTATACCGCCGTGCAGCCGGAGTTGTCATTTTGTGTAACGTCTAGCGGATCTAATTCTTATCTGAAATAAAAAAACCAAATTTTTTATTAATCTTCATGAAATTTTATCCTAAATGAATTAAGAAAACCAATAAAAAGTGCAGAATTAAAGAAATTGTATGAGTTTAAAAAAAGTTACAATTTTTACGAGAAATTTTTGACTTCTTTATGAAAAAACAATTGTTTAGTTACATTTTTAAAAAAACATTTTTAGTTCATCGAGGACAGTATGTTATTAGCTAACTAAAAAGCTTTGGAAAAAGTGAATCGGAAAATACTTTTTTTCTGAAACGTTACACAAACTTGAAAAACGTGGTTTCGAGAAAAACGCGTTTAAAGTTTTCGATACCAAAAAATTATAGTTATTGCAAACTTACAGCAATTAGATGCTAATCTGCCATGCCCATATACTAAGCCTTCCGCTTCTTCGTACGATTGATGCGCGTTTAGGCTGTTCATTCATTGCTTTTGGATACATTTTGTCGTTTTCGAATGTCTTGTAACGTCCAAACGAACTGAAGTTAGGGGCTAGACTGATCGCCATAAATTCTATACATATCTACCATATCTAAATATTTCGAATTTCGGTTTGTTACTTCAGGAACTATATTTTCATGAGTTTTACTATCGATTTATATATATACATATATATATATATATGAAAAAAAAAATCGAAAATTTTGAGTTTGTAAATCCCCCTTAATTAAAACAATAAATGTTTCTTAATTTAAAAGAAGAATTCAATGATAAAATTGAATACCAAAAATTATACAAGTTTTGTTCTTGCCAGAAAAAAATTCGAGTGAAAATAACGACTGTCGACTTTTGTCAATAAGTTATTCAGCTAGCTTTATTAGCACACTTTCTATCTTTTCTTATATTTTTTCTATCTTCTCGTCTCACTCAGTTTCTCTTTTATTTTTTATATTATATTATATTATACATATACATATCCTAATATATTATAAATATGTATATTATCATTTTCATATATTTAACTGCATCTTTTCTCTTGTAACAGGATTCCTAGAGTACTTCAACAGGACGACCCTTCAGTGGATCCCATTGTGCGATGATCGGTTTACCGAGCGCAACGCTCAAGTAGCATGCCGACAACTCGGTTATGACACTCTCAACGTTTACGTATCGTACGATCGTAGATATGAGCTTCATCCCGGATCGTTGACGCGTGTCTGGTCTTGGCCCGAACCACTGCAGGTATGATTGATTTTGCTTCTTATTTGTTTCAAGAGATCGATAAACATTGAACGTTTTATAGTGTTCCGGGAAAGAGAAAAATCTCGAGGACTGTCAGATCAGACTGAACGGTCAGTTGTTCGGTCATCGTCATGAGTGCCCGTGGAACGGAAACTTCGTCTTCCTGCATTGCGGAAAGCGAAATTTAGACGATGCATACGATTACTGGGGCGGAATACGTATCGCGAACAGTGAATTCGAAGCTCATCTCTACGAACATCGCATTCACGACATTGTGACTCATGAAACAATAAAGCGCGTCGAATCGATTCTCAAATTCATCAATATAACCGGTGCTGGGATTTTACATTATGAGAAATTGGCCGCTATACAGTCGATTATGAAATCTCCGGCAATAGTGCACGTAAACATAGATCGCAGCGCTTATCATGGCATAAATGTCGTATCTCCCACACACATGGTATGCGAAATACATAATTTGCATGCAAAGAAACGCAAATCGGAGTTTTATACTAATTCACATGTTTCTGTATATTACAGGTGGAGTTATTATTCAACACAATTAACAATGTCCTCGGCAACGGCGTAAATATATTATCCTTGACGGGAGAAGGCCGCGAGTCGGATGAGAGCACGTTCACGCCTATTAAGGATCTCAATGTTCCTTATCATTTATTCAGTATGGTCGATATATGCGATACTGCAAAAGAAATTACAATCGAGGAGCGCGTGATCGTATACTACAAATACGATAATTATCCTGTGAATTGCGTGAAGATCTTCCGCAGTGCTTACAGAGCTAAACCGTTCGGATTCAGGTACATGTAGAATTCTTTTTCGTGTCCACGAAAATGGTTTTCAAAAGCTCGATGAAAACTAGAAAGCTAATATCTTGAGTTTCCAGGCTTTTGCAATTTAATCTTTATAACTCCACTGGCAAGCCAGGCCGGCATGATAGTATAACAATGTACGACGGAGACATTTACAATATCAGCTCCAAAGTGATTGGTCATTTGGAAGTTAATACTCCTGATGAGAAAAAATTGTTTAGAACGCAGAATCCTAGTATTAGCATTAGATTATTTGCTAACGGCGCTAGTAATACGCATGGATTTATCGCGGAAATCGTAACTCTTCCGATATCTGCTATTGGTTTTAGTAAGTAATCTCAATGTGCATATAACATTTTATTAGCAAAAAGGAATAACAAACCCCTTTTATGCCTATTTCGGATTACGTACTCTTCTGTAATTCTTTTACTTTTGTGATTGGTAGATCGCGATGTACAGCACAACGTTTCTTACTCTTTGATATCGAATTGTCGCGAAGGGGCCGTAAAATATGCAAGCGCCGGCGAAGTGAATGCCATAATAACGCTCGAGCGTAATCAGTTTGTGAATAATTGCGAGAAACTGTACGGTAACTTCACCACGTGTAAATCTGCACTGTGGCTCGACGTCCAAAATACGCAATTGCTCCATTTCAGAGTAAGTACCATGTACGCTTAAGGGTGTATCATATATATTTTCAAAATAAAAAAATCACAGATCATTTTAGATCGCATTTAAAAGTAATATAAAAAAATTTAATGGCGGTTTATACAACTTGGATCAAAAATTATTTCAATAAAAAGTAATATTTTTTTATCTGTGCTCTAATCAATTCTATAATGGAAATGTATTATAAAATAATAATAAAAATTAAAATTTTTTAATGTATGTATATATAAGTACTCTAAGTATTAAGTATTGGAAAATAACTTTTTTTACTTATTTATTTCATTTGTTATTATTTTTTGTTGTAATAATATAAAATTTAGAAAATACCACAAAAACTGATATTCTTTATATAAGTACTTAAGTATTCAAAATGATGTATTAAGTTTTATTGTATTGTACAGATTTGTTTTTCTATAAATAAAATTTACTTATTTACAGGACAACAATCTCTGCATCGCAATGAAATTTTACATAAATAATTGTAGGGTTAAACAAACGCTGATTCTCTCAACACTCTCTTCTAATTGACAAGTTTGCTTTATTTTGTTGCAATAACAGTTGCACAGTACGAGTCGTCTCCAGACACGCACTCTCTCAACGCTCGCACTCTTGTATCTCTTTCGATCACACACACACGCCGCCACACGTCCTTCTTCACATCTAACTCGCCAAAACCCGATCGGTGCGCCGCGCGCACACCGCACGCCGATATGCCATCGGTAACGCACACCTCACGCACCCTACATCATTTTAAATAGTTAAAATACTTATATAAAAAATTCAATTTCTTATAATTTTTTTAAATTTCAGTATTAATATTACTTATAACAAAAAATAATAACAAAGTAAATAGATTGTAAAAATGTAATTTATAATAAATATAGAATATTATAAACATAACTTTCACACACCCACACGCGCAGAATACCCCATCTTGATTGCCCCAGACAAATAACCCCTAATACACACCATGGTTTTTGACATCCTTACTACACATGATAGGTTTATTGTGTCCTGGCTTAATTTTCATCATTTTTATAAATATATAAAAATTATTAAGCAATTTTTACGTATATTTTAACATTTTTTAAAAGCATTGGTAAAGTCGTATATTTATAATAAATTGAATATAAATTGTTATAACTAAATGTACTATAGTCAACAAAATAAGAAAAATGCATTATTTTATGTAAAACTCTGTGAAACACAAATGTTTAAAGGAAAAATATATTTCAATATCCTAAAGTTGATATTTCAAACTACAAAAGAAAAAATAGTTCAAGTGTCGTTGTCTAAAACAATTATTCAAAAAAGTTATTTAGCAACCTGGAAATGATGTTTTCTTAATATGCATAAATGATTATAAAACAATGCATTTTATTATTGCTATTGTGTTAGAAAAACTTAGAATAATGAAAAATAGGCAGGACTCTTAAATATTAAAAAACTAAATCGACATTAAAAAGGACATATAAGAGTCAAATAAATACTTGAATATAAATACAAAGAAATTTAATTAAAGTTTATAAAACCATTACATGTTTCAGCTTATTATTAATTTTCAGATTATCCATTATTATTCTTCAAGATATCCATATATATTCGTTAATTCACAATAGTCCTTGATAAATTTTTGAATGCTCGATGGGTGTCCAGAACCAAAAATTTCTTTCTCAACGATTTACAGATCGAAAATTTGAAATTTCTAGATATTGCATGTATTGCCAAAAAAACTATTAATATTGATATATGCGAGAAAAACCGTATGTTAGATAAAACTTTTATGAACACTCACCGTACATTCGAACATCTCAATTAGACCTTCAGTATTAGTTTGAAGATTAAGACTATTCGCTTGTTTTTTAATATTTAGCATTTCCGAGATCAAACGTTTATTATAACATGGTTCTTCATCTAAAATTTTAATGTTATCCTAATCGAAATCATGTTGCGTTTGCATCCTATGTTCAGTTATCACAGAACGGATAGTCGTGTTCCAATTAATATGTTTGCGATGTTCTGCAATCCTTGTTTTTAATTGTCTGCCCGTTTGTCCAACATAGGATGCATCACATTCATTGCAACAGATCTTATAGACAACGTTACATTTTTTTTATTGTTCTAAACTATCTTTCTGCACTTTAATGTACTTGTTTAGCTTGTTAGTGCTGTGAAATGCAATTTTGATGTTATTATTGTGCATATGTTTGAATTTATCCGTGAACCCTGGGATAAAAGGCATCACAAACCAAAATACATTGTTATCAGGATCTATGTTATTTTCTTTGTTATACCGTATTTTAAATTCTCTTTTATGAATGCTATTAATTCTGTTGTTAATAGTGTCAAAAATAAAATCAAGTGGATAGTCATTATATAAAAGCGTATTGATTATAAAATTTATACTTTTCAAATTATATTCTTTGTTAGAAAGCAATAAAGCCCTATCTATCAAATTAAAAATTATTCCTCTTTTTTGAGATATGGGATGGTTGGAAAAAAAGTTGATGAACCTGCCCGAAAATGTTGGTTTCTGATACCAATCAAACCTTAGTTGTTCATCAATGATCATTATCTTAACATCGAGAAAATTAAGAGAGTTATCACCAATCTCTAGAGTAAATTGAAGTCGATCATGAACAGAATTAAAACACTCAAAAAATGAATCTATCATTTGATCTGGAATCGCGGCACACAGATCGTCCACATATCTATAATAAAAAAGAACTTGACTGTTAAACATATTAAGAGCTGTTTTTTCTAATTTCTGCATGACTAAGTCAGCGATGATAGGCGAAAGTGGAGAACCCATAGGTGTGCCGTAATTCTGTTTATATGTAATATTATTGAAAATAAAATAAGAAGAATCTAAAACTAAACGTATTGCTATTAAAAATTCAGCTTTCGGTAGAGAACATTTCTTTGAAATATAATATGATTCCAGATATCATTAATACAATCCATAGCATAATCTATCGGTATGTTCGTTAATAGTGAAATAACATCTAATGATATTAACTTATAATCTTTGTTAATTCTTGTTCCATTTAGGATATCAACTAATTCGAAACTATTATTAATGAAACTCTCAGCTTTAGGAATGGATTCCATTAAGATCTGGTGTAAAAAAGACGCTAAATGATGTAACGGACTACCTATCGATGATACTATGATTCTAAAAGGACAATTTTGTTTGTGAATCTTGGGTAAGGCGTAAGCTCTCGGTACTAATCCATCACTGCAACAAAGTTGTCTATATTGAACTGCATTGATATAATTTAAATTGCTCCATCTGATAAGCACACTTCTCAATGATGTTTTTAGTTTATTACACGGATCTCTTTTTACTATTTCGTAAGTATCAGTATCTACAAGCATTTCTGTTACCTTTTCTATATAGAGATCTCTGTCCAAAGCTACTGTGACGTTGCCTTTGTCGGCGTGAGTAAATATGATGTTCGGATGTAATTTTAGATATTCTTTTGTGACTAATTCTAAATTTGATATTTGATAATCGATAGGAGTTGTGAAAAGAGGAGAAGAAACTATGTCGTTGAGTATAGGAATTGACTGATTAATTATATCCACTCTATTGATAATAGGTAATTTTCGGATGCTATGTTCAATGCTCTTAATGCAATCAAAGATAATGTTTCTCTTATTTCTATTTGGAAGAGCAAAGTTCTCATCCAATTGCAAAAAACACTGAACATCATAAGGAATGGAAATAGAAGAATGATTTATAAACCATCTTTCTCTAACCGAAGATAATGGGTTGGTGATGTTTAATTTAGAAAAAGATTCATGAAATATATTAATATTCTGAAATTTTTGTTTTTTCTGTTTATTCAGTAACCAGTTAAACTTAGATGTAATTCTTTTTTTTTCTTTGACAAAGAAGAAAAAACAAGATTTTTCTTGTGTACATAAGAACTCATCACAAATTTAAATAGGCAAATAATAGGATAATATGCTTGCCAAGTAGAGAACCTTTCTTTTATAATATTTATTTTTCCTATGTGTATCATTCAGTTCATTATGTAATATTTTTTGAATAAACACTTTTTTGCAGTTCATGAATTTCCAAATAGAAATAAGAGAAACATTATCTTTGATTGCATTAAGAGCATTGAACATAGCATCCGAAAATTACCTATTATCAATAGAGTGAATATAATTAATCAGTCAATTCCTATACTCAACGACATAGTTTCTTCTCCTCTTTTCGCAACTCTTATCGATTATCAAATATCAAATTTAGAATTAGTCACAAAAGAATATCTAAAATTACATCCGAACATCATATTTACTCACGCCGACAAAGGCAACGTCACAGTAGCTTTGGACAGAGATCTCTATATAGAAAAGGTAACAGAAATGCTTGTAGATACTGATACTTACGAAATAGTAAAAAGAGATCCGTGTAATAAACTAAAAACATCATTGAGAAGTGTGCTTATCAGATGGAGCAATTTAAATTATATCAATGCAGTTCAATATAGACAACTTTGTTGCAGTGATGGATTAGTACCGAGAGCTTACGCCTTACCCAAGATTCACAAACAAAATTGTCCTTTTAGAATCATAGTATCATCGATAGGTAGTCCGTTACATCATTTAGCGTCTTTTTTACACCAGATCTTAATGGAATCCATTCCTAAAGCTGAGAGTTTCATTAATAATAGTTTCGAATTAGTTGATATCCTAAATGGAACAAGAATTAACAAAGATTATAAGTTAATATCATTAGATGTTATTTCACTATTAACGAACATACCGATAGATTATGCTATGGATTGTATTAATGATATCTGGAATCATATTATATTTCAAAGAAATGTTCTCTACCGAAAGCTGAATTTTTAATAGCAATACGTTTAGTTTTAGATTCTTCTTATTTTATTTTCAATAATATTACATATAAACAGAATTACGGCACACCTATGGGTTCTCCACTTTCGCCTATCATCGCTGACTTAGTCATGCAGAAATTAGAAAAAACAGCTCTT